TCCTCTTTTTCCCCCATTAACTGGGGGGGGGGGGGGGTGGAGTGAGAAGCTTCTGGCAAGATCAGCATATATTTTCTGTAATTTTTGAACATTTTCTTAAAATTACACTGCTAAGATCAAGAGATATTCTGTATGTGCAGTACTTGAGGAATTAAAAAATGAAAACTGCCGCCACCACATCTAAGAACTGTTAAACTGCAATATATTACATTTTTGTTCTGGGGTTTAGTTATACTATAAAGAGAGCCATGTAACTGTCCTGTGGCTTTCATGCTGTTGGTCTGCTAGAGAACATCCCATTATTGGGACCCCAACATTTTTTTTGTGCAATCGTTCTGGGACCTCCAGGTGACACTGTCATTTTCCGAAGTGGCTTACTATAATTTGCCACTCTTCATAGCCTTTATGCCAAACAAATATCACTGTGCCATTGTTCTAAAACACCAAACAATTGTCAACGTACCATAGTTTTTGGACACCAGCAAGTGTTACCAATTTATAGTACTAGAACCAAGTAAGGACCAATGTGCCATAGGTCTATTACACCAAGCAGAAGCTACTGCAAGAGTTCTAGTACCAAGCATCAGTGTGCCTTAGTTGTAGAATACCAAGCAAGTGTCATTGTACCATAATTCTGGGACACCAAACAAGGGTCACTGTGACATAGTTCTAGGGCACCAAACAGGTGTCGTTGTACCATAGTTCTCGGACACTAAACAAGCATCAGTGTGTCATAGTTCTAGGACACCATACAAGTGCCATTGTGTCATAGTTCTAGGACACCATACAAGTGCCATTGTTCATAGTTATGGTACACCAAACAAGTATTACTGTGCCCTAGTTCTAGGACACCAAACAAGGGTCACCGTGCCATAGCTCTAGGACACCAAACAAGGGTCAGTGCCATAGTTCTAGGACACTAAACAAGTGTTACTGGGCCATAGTTCTAGGACACCAAGCAAGCATCAGTGTGTCGCAGTTCTAGGACACCATACGAGTGCCATTGTGCCACAGTTCTAGGATACAAAACAAGTGTCACTGTGCCATAGTTCCATGGCAGCAAACAGATGTAATTGTACCATGGTTGCAGGATACCAATCAAAAATCACTGTACAATAGTTCCATGGCACCAAACAGGTGTCATTGTACCATAGTTATAGGACACTAAATAAGTGTTACTGGGCCATAGTTCTAGGATACCAAGCAAGCATCAGTGTGATAATAGTTATAGGACACCATACAAGTGCCATCGTTCTAGGATACCAAACAGGTGTCATTGTATCATAGTTCTAGGACACCAAACAAGAATCATTGTGCCATAATTCCAGGGCACCAAACTGGTGTCATTGTACCATAGGTCCAAGACACTAAATAAGTGTTACTGGGCCATAGTTCTAGGACACCAAACAAGGGTCACTGTGCCATAGTTCTAGGACACTAAACAAGGGTCACTGTGCCATAGTTCTAGGACACTAAACAAGTGCCACTGTGCCATAGTTCTTGAAACCAAACAAGTGTTATTGTGTCATAGTTTTAGGACACCAAGCAAGTATCAGTGTGCCATAGTTCTAGGACACGAAGCAAGCATCAGTGTGCCATAGTTCTAGGACACCAAGCAAGTATCAGTGTGCCATAGTTCTAGGACACGAAGCAAGCATCAGTGTGCCACAGGGACGTGCGGTCAGGGGAGGCAGATCGACGGGCCTGTGGGTCCCCCCTCGATCCGTCGGGGGAGGCTCCCCGCAGCCTGGCGCGTCCTCAGGGGCTACCTGGTTGATCCTGCCTCCACCTGAGGCGCCGACGCGGAGCCGACGTTTTTGCCCTTGCCACCCCCCGTTCAGACCGATGGGACACCCTGCGCGCCAGCGGGGAGGGGTCGCCAGGGCGGTGAGCAGACTCTCCTAGGTCCCCGGCGCACTTCCCCTCCCTTGGCCCCGGCGCGAGCTCCTGTGGCCCCCCGCTGGGCCCGGGTATCCCCGGGGAGGGGCCCCCTCGTGAAAGGAAGGCGGTGCCCCGTCAAATTACCCACTCCCGAATCGGGGAGGTAGTGACGAAAAATAACAATACAGGACTCTTTCGAGGCACTGTAATTGGAATGAGTACACTTTAAATCCTTTAACGAGGATCTATTGGAGGGCAAGTCTGGTGCCAGCAGCCGCGGTAATTCAGTTGCTGTCCGGCTGTCAGATGAGAAAGAGCTATTCCTGGTCTCTCTGCGGCTTCAGTCACTGGGGGAGACTTTCCCACTCCTTGGCCTGACTTAGGCCCACTATGGAGGGTCGGCTTCCCTCCCCGGCTTGGGGATGGAAGGCCCGGCTCGATGCCCTTTTTGCCGTGCTGGATTTCGGGGACGGCAGGCCCTTAAGGAAGGACCTGTCCTTGGCGGAGCACCAGGTCCTGTCCAGGAGAATCCGTGAACAGGTGATCCTGTTGGAGGAATTGGAAGGAGGTATGGACGGAAAGATCAGAGAGTGGAAGAAGGGTGTGGGGCGGCCTCATGCAGTGCCTACAGAGGAGATTCTGCTGCTCTCTGGGGTGCTCCTTGAGTGCAGGGATCTCCTGCAGGTGGGTCGCCTCTGCCTGGAACAGTCCCATCCGCTGCTGCGCGACTCCAGAGAGGGTTCGCCGGATATGATCCCCGATACGCCACCTGATGGTGCAGGTTCCGGAATGATGTCCCATTCCTATACTGGAGTGGTGAAAGGAAGAGGAGTAGAGCTGCGGGCTTTCCAGGAGGCGCCCACTGAGAAGCTCCTAGAGCTCTTAAGGATTTAAAGGGACAGCATGACAAATATGATAAAATGTTGTGCCAGCTTCAGAATCGGCTGAAGAAGTTGAGAGCAATGTCAAACAAAACTACCAGTTTTAAAAGAGCACCTATCAGAGAGGAAATTATCCAGAAGAAGCAAGAAGAGCAGCATGTACTTTCCAATATTGATGAGGTAAAGTCAAAGATTGCAGAGGTGCAGTCCAGTCTGCAAAGAAGAGCTGCAGGCCTGCCTAAGGTGACGGCCCCAGAGAGCGGCGACGGAAGTTTTTGGAAGAGAGGAGGGCGATAGAGGCGGGAGTTGGCTCTGGCCTGGAGTCGGAGGTGGAAGAGGGAGCTTCAACTTCGGATGCCAGAGCTTTGAAAGTTTGGAGAAGAGCTGTGCGAAGGAAGTGTTAAAGCAGGAAAGAAAGAGAAGAAAAAGGATTCCTCGAGGAGGGCTCCTGAGGTTCTGTGCAAGAAAGGGGGTCGAGTGGATCCGGCGAGGAGGGTGAGACTTCCCTCCATGTGCCTGGAGAGGCATCCCCGTTTGGTGATGGCACCTGTGTACTTTTGGAGGTTCCCTCTCCAGTGTCCCTTCCCAACGCCCCCCTTTCCCAACACCCCTCTTCCCTTCCCTCTGCCTTACCTGTTGCCCCGCTTTCTGCTGTCAGTGTTGTTGAGGGAGACCCAGGCTCTGCCCCCGTGGAGTAGGTCCTGGGAATCCCTGTTGAGCTGACTAGGGTAGATGTGTCCAAGATGGCATCTGATGGATCCGTTCTGGTTCATGCCAAACTAAAAGTGAAAGAGGTGGAGTTGGGAGCTGGACGGGCCGCGGGTGACGTCACTTCCGGTTTGCAGGTCACTTCCGGTTTGCAGGTAATTTCCGGTCCTTGTGGAGCCCTGACGGTGGCTTCCGGTTCCACTTTCAGTTTGGGTGCTGCAGACGTTGCTGCTGGTAATGCTTCAGGAGACCAGGTTGGATAGCTTGGCAGCATTGCACTTGGCTAAACGTGAGTGGAAGAGGGGGCCATCATATTTTAGAGGGTCGTCCGCGATTATTATATTGAGCTTCTCGGAAGGATGAGACCCCTGGAGGATCGGGCCTATGGTTTTCTGGGGAACCTCGTACCCCCTGATAATCTGAATCTATCTCCGGATGAGTTGCTTAGCAAGATTACCGTTGAAGAGGACACGGAGAGTATAATGCAGCAGAACAAAAACAAGTCCCCTGGCCCTGACGGACTGACGGTCGAGTTCTACCAGCAGTTCTGCACTCTCCTGTGAGAGTCTTGGCTACGCACTATAGTGTTTCGCTTGCCTTGAGGGACTGTCCACCACAGACTCTTGCTTCGGGATTGCAAAATATCAATTCCCGGCGGCTTCCGGAGAAATATAGAGATGTGGTGTTTCTCTCTTTCCACGGTAGACTCTATGTTCGGGGGAACCTGAAGTACAGGAACGTTCAGGACCGTGGTTGTCCTCGGGTGGAATGTTCCGGGAAAGAGGAGTCTATGGACTACTTTCTCCTTCAGTGGCCCTTCAATGTACACGTCTACAAAGAGGACTCGGCCGCCTTGGGCATCCCCTGTCTCTCCCGCATGACTTATGCAGAGTGGGTGTACAGGACGTCCAATTCCAGAGAGGGAGGAGATTTAATTTGAGCACTCTTTTTCTAGTTAGTGCAGTTGTTAGGTATTTCACGTGGAATGCGCAGTGTCAGGTTTCCCTGCAGAGAAAATACCTTTCTTGTCAGCTGGTGGTGCATGATATCAGGAGGGCTGGTTATATCCAGCTCAGTTGCTGTCTGGCTGTTGGAGAGGCTGCTGCACCTTGCTGCTCTGTGGACCTGGTCTGGAGGAGCTGGCCTGCTGCGGAGGAACTCGTCAGGGAGCCGAGAGACTGGAGGAAGATTGGCAGGCCCCATGCAGTCCCTACTGCAGATATCCTGCTACTGTCCGGGGTTCTGGCGGAGTGCAGAGAGTTTTTGCGAGAGGGCCATTGGTGGCTGTCCCGTGAGAGAACCGGAGAGTTGCCCCCCCGAGGTTGTCCCAGACGCCCCGACTGAGGGTGCTGGTCCCTCCAGGCATGGCTGTGTTGGAATGGCCAGGGGGAAAAGAGTGGAAGAGCAGACCTTCCAGGAGTTGCCTACATAGAAGCTCCTGGAGGTCCTTAAGACCTTCAAAGAGAAGTATGATGGTTACAGTGCTGATTTGTGTCGTCTGCAGGATGATCTGTAAACCCTTCGGGCTGTATCTAACCGGACCTCAAGTCAGAAGAGGGGCCCGATTAGGGAGCAGATTGAAGAGAAGAAGGAGACGGAGCTGGTGATTTTGCGTGACCTGGAACATGTGGAGCGTCAGGCCTCAGAGATACAGGCTATACCACACCGCAGGACGGCTGGTCCACCGAGAGGGACAGCTAGGGAGCGGAGACAAAGGAAGCTCGAGGAGAGGAGAGCAATAGAGGCTGAATCAAGTTTGGAGTCTGAAGTTGAAATTGTGGACTATACTCCTGGGACAAGTGCAAGGGCTGCAGGGCATGCCAGCCCTTTGAGCCAGACAGCGAAGCAGGTGCTAGATGCCTGTGGGGACGAAAGGACTATGAAGAGCGGCCCCCGGCCTCCCCGGAGTCGTTGGGACCGGAGCGCGGACGGAAGCGGGCCGCCTCTCTCCCGGAGCGCATCGCATGTTCGTTGGGAACCCGGTGCTAAATCATTCGTAGACGACATGATTCAGGGTCAGGGTTTCGTACGTAGCAGAGCAGCTACCTCGCTGCGATCTATTGAAAGTCATCCCTTGAGCCAAGCTTTTGTCTTCCCCACGGGGGGGAAGTGGACAGGTGGCTGTCCCCTTGTCCCCCCGACCTCTCCTGTCTCCCCGGGACATAGGGAAAGGGTGCGAGCGTCGACGGCGAGGAGGGGGAAAAAAGTTTGTGCCGCCAGGAGGAGAGCGGGGAGGGGCGGCCGGCGGCTTGCTAGGAGTCAGGCATATCGGGTCCGTGGATCGCCGACCGGGTAGTCCAGTTGAACAAGTCCAGCGGGGGCGTGGATCGCCGACCAGGCTTAAGTTTCGTCGGCCAGCTCGTCCCGCGAGAAGAAAGGGGGGGGTACCAGTGTCCTCCGGCCACCATCGGCAGTCAAGCAAGTGAGGGACAGGGAGGCTTCTCTTCCCTTCCTCCTCCTCACACAGCTTGGTTACCAAAGCTGGGAGTGGGGCTGCGACTGGATGGGGGGATGCCTCACCAATCACATAAGGCACGTCACGTCACTACCTCACCCAGCACACAAGGCAGGGCACGTCACTGGTGTGCCATAGTTCTAGGACACCAAACAAGCATCAGTGTCGTAGCAAGTGTCATTGTGCACATGTTCTGCAATAACAAGCTGCAGTATCTTATCTCTCTTATTCTCCAAGAGTTTGTTTGTCATTGTTCTCAGATACCTTGTGTCAGTGTGTTCTTTTTATCTAGGATTCCAAGAGTCCTACTGTCATTGCTGTGTTCCACCAAGAGTTGCTGCATGTCATTGTCCTGAATCCTTCAATGTATCATTGAAGTAGTACAAAACACAATGTCTGCTTTGGAGCTACGAATGCTGATTTTAAGACTTCTATGTATAATAAGGTTAAAAATAATTGCACAGAGTCTGAAATAAATCTGCTTTGATAAATCACAAAACATCATTGACCAGTAATCTGCAGATATATACCTATTATTACACTAAAGAGCCGTGATCTTTGAACGTGTCCCGCAGCTGTAATCTGCTGGAATACGCAGAGTCTGAATCGTGCCATTGCTCATGTTGTGCAGTGAAAGAAACTTGCTGATGGAAATCTCGGAAAGCTTAGGCAGAGACACCCTGGATTATCAGTCTGGGTCTGCCTATAACTGGACAGAGAACAGATAGAGTAATGGCCAGGGAGATTTATGATTTCCCAGCCATCACCATAAAGCAATTATTACTTGAGAGGTGACTCTCCCGCTAGGCACTGTGCTGTGAAAATGTTTTGAATACAATTTCTTCTCTGTGCCTGGAGACAATAAGGGTCACATCACTTCTCCGCTCTATGGAAACCTATTTCAGTAGCTGGGTGATTTCTGTGGGCAACATACAATATATGTTATCGTCTTCAAATTAACTTCCCGTAACCCCTGCATGGGAGGAGTGACTGGAAGGAGGGGCAGCACTGCAAACCAATCAGCCAATTTGCTCCCAATTCCACAGTGTAAACTTGCTGAATGGAGGATTGCAGTGATGAGTTCATATTGAAAGTGGCATTTATTTTATGTCATTAACGGATAATTAACACCCCCCTTTATTTCTTTGCATATACAGGCAGTCCCCGAGTTACATACATCCGACTTACATACGACTCCTACTTACAAACGGAGGCTACTACTGTAAAGCAGGGCAGGGGCGTCCCAAGGCTGGGTTTCACCCGGTCTCTAGACCGGGTGACACTCCGCTGTGTCGTCATCGCGCATGCGCGGACATCTGATTGACGCCTGCCGGTGGCCCCCCTTGTGGCAACACTGCAGCAGGAGTAGTTGTAATGCTACAGCGCTCGTGCTGACACGGAGTGCCCACCTTTTTGGGTCTGGTTTGTAGTAGTGTACGTACATTACAGGAAGTCTACCCCTAGAAAGGGAAATTCACTCCTGTAAGAGTTACCATGGGAAAAAGGTGTCTGCATTGAAGCTTTATCACCAATCCTTGTTTTCACGACAACCCAAAAGTTTCAAAATCCAATTGTCACAGGGACAGAAAGTGAGGTGAAATCTTCTGAACAGGGGCACACACACAGCACAACAAACTTTACAGGGGGTAAACACTTCCCTATGCTATCCAAAACCCCCCAAAAAATTTGGGGCTGCAGTTACACTTACAAAATGTACCTGTTCCAACTTACATACAAATTCAACTTAAGAATAAACCTACAGTCCCTATCTTGTACGTAACACGGGGACTGCCTGTATCTACTGCTAGCAAGCAGTAGATACAGTGGGGCAAAAAAGTATTTAGTCAGCCACCAATTGTGCAAGTTCTCCCACTTAAAAGATGATAGGCCTGTAATTGGCATCATAGGTAGACCTCAACTATGAGAGACAAAATGAGAAAACAAATCCAGACAAATCACATTGGCTGATTTGGAACAAATTTATTTGCAAATTATGGTGGAAAATAAGTATTTGGTCACCTACAAACAAGCAAGAGTTCTGGCTCTCACAGACCTGTACCTTCTTCTTTAAGAGGCTCCTCTGTCCTGCACTCATTACCTGTATCAATGGCACCTGTTTGAACTTGTTATCAGTATAAAAGACACCTGTCCACAACCTCAAACAGTCACACTCCAAACTCCACTATGGTGAAGACC